TTTTTGTTTTGTTTTTTATCATTTTGTGTTGTGGGAATCTTATAAGCTATCCACTAAGGGAAACCTCTTCCAAATAATAGCTTTGAATATCTCTGTAACCCTTATTTCTAACCTGGAATAATTATACTTACAATACTGGATAAGATCTGAAAACCGAGGAGCCAAGGAGCACCTGTAGTGCAAGCTGTGTGCCCACACAATCGGATTCGCAGACCTTGAGCCAAGTGCAGCTCTGGGAGCTCAGGCGTCTCTTGATTTTAGCTCTCCTGGCAGAATTGTCTGCTGCCAGCGTGGGCACTGGTGGATGGCCTGATTTGTCCTTTAAAAGTTCTCAATGTACTCAATAAAATCAGTCCCTGTTGTCAGTAACCATGACAATTGCCCAAAGCAATCTTGGATTTTAAGATACTATCCATTGTAGTTAAGGATAGAAAGACAACATCATTTTTTAAAATGAATGTTTCCTTGGCAAAAGACTCAGTTCCTAGAGCCTAAAGAAAAGAAAAATGACATAATAGATAAAACTCAAGGTTTATAGAAGAACCATTTACACAACACAGGGAGAAAATGAGACAAATCTAGAATGTGGGGAATTCACAAGAGAACTGGCACAAAAGCTTCAAAATGTCAATATTGCAAGATAACTGAAAAGGTGTGGAAATTGTCTATTTCAAAAGAGATTAAGGAGACACAGCTCTAATGTAATGTATGACCCTTGATTGAATCTTTATTCCACAGCAGACCTATAAAAGATACTTTTGAGGGTAACTGGGAAGATTTGGATGTGGACTGGGTGTAGCTGAGTCATAACTTTTTAAGAAAAGAGCCAGCAGCATTATTTGTAGCTGAGCATCCTAGCATTTAGAGGTGAAATGTCACCATGCCTGCAAGGTACCCTCAAATTATCCAGCAGGAGTACAGAGAGCTCACTGAAAACAAAGCAGTGGAATACACAGATGCACCGCATTTGTGTTGATAGGGCTGTACATGGGGTACACATGGGCGCTCATCGAACCACTGTTGCATTACTGGTTTGGAACTTCCCATGATGACTAGCCGTGGACACTGAAGCTGCACTGCTCCAGGTGGATGCTGGTTTCTTGTCTGTGTGGCCCAGGGCTACCAATGCCACCCTCTCATACCTCTGATTTATCACATGCATGTATAAATGATGCTACTGCCTGCTTCAGAGCGCCACTACAAACACCAAAGAGCTAATAAATGGGAGCTTCTTAGAGCAGTGCTTGACACACAGCGAATGCCAAGGAAATGTTGGCTTTCACTACAGTACTGAGGAAGCTGCAGGAGGCAATGGGCCACGGGGCAAAAGTAGGCATGAGCCCTGGGCGTGCCTCGGTTTCCCTTTCCTCTCCATCCCCATATCCACATGTGTACTCCCCCAGAGGTTCCTCCCGAAGCCTCGGCTAAACACAGATCCTACTCTATCCACGCAGCCCCCCTGGTGGGGAGCTGGCCACCTCTCCAAGCCCCAGCCTACAAGCTGCATCATATCTTTCTGTTCTGATGTGATTCCCTGTATCTGCTTTGATTTTGATCAATGGATTTTGCCATTTTATTGAAAATCAAAATATGTCTGTGAAACACAGTTACAGTTTATAAGTGTTTTCACATGTTTGTAAAGGGCGTATTTTCAAGGTATCTTTTTCATGTCCTAGTGCCTGAAATGGAATCTAGTAGGAAGGAAATAGCATTAAACTTTTCTAGTATTTCACTACTTGGGCCAGAAAGATCAAAATAGGGATTCAAATTGTGTATGGAACCAAATTCATATCAGGTCCCCCATGGAATCAGCCAAGGAGATTTTGCTCTCAATCGAATATGAGCATTTAAGGAAAATGTCACAGGCCCTGGGGAAATATCCAGTAACTTAGAAGAAGCCTTGCAATAAAGCCTGGAGGATTACCTGATTATTAAACATAGGTAAAACCATGGGAATGAATCAAATTATCATGGAAGAATCATTCAGAGCAGCGGGACAGGAAAATACAGGGAGGAGATCAGAATATTTTAACTTAAGTGGAAAAATAGTGGCTGCAGAGGGTGAGGAATTGTGACAGACCGTCAGCCCTTGGTACTGACGGGAATTGTTTCCAGGACCCCCTGCAGATGCCAAATTGAGGAACTCAAGCTCCTAAGGTAAAATTGCATAGCATTTACATATAAGCTCTGTGCATCTATCTTCCTGTGTATTTCAAATCATTTCCAGATCACTAACATTACATAATACGATGTGAGTGCTTTGCAAATCCTTGTTATACTTTAGGGAATAATAAGAAAAAAGAGCAGGCACATGTTCAGCACAGATGTGTTTCTTCAAAGATTCTCAATGCACAGTTGGTTTAGTCCTTGGCTGTGGAGGTATTGTGGTTTAAATCTAAAATGTCCTCCAGCATTCTGAGGCACGTGGAGAATGACTGGATTCTGGGGGAGTTGTACCCAGCAGTGAGTGTATCCACTCATGAATGTGCTGCTGCCTGGTGGGGTTTGGGCAGGAGGAGCGGCTCACTGGGAACAGGACCGGGAAGAGTTATCTCCTTCCTGATCTCCTCTCTCTCTGCTTCCCAATCTCTCTGTCATGAGTGTGTTTCCTCCACCAGAACTTTTAGGTGCCCTATCTCCTTGGAGCCTCCTGGCCATGCACTGAGTTCTCTGAAGCCATGAGCCAAAATAAACTCTTTCTCCTTTAAACTGTGGGTGTTGGGCATTGTGTCTCAGTTAAGAGAACGTGATTAAGACAAAAGCCCACAAACACAGAGGCCCCCTGTACGAGTGTGCACAAACCCCCTCCATATGGATGTCTATACACAGAGTCACTATATAAAAACAGGGACCTATATAAAGTAGAAAAACCGATTTTCTTAAAGTTAAAGGAATGACATGTTTTGTGAAGAATGAAGACCTTAAAGTTTGCAGCAAAAGAGCAGAATTAAGATAAAATTTGAAAAGCAGACATTGGATTGAATTAACAAGAAATGATTGATGACCTTGATAGAGGAATTTCAGGGCACTGATGGACCCCATGGAGGATGGAGTGAATTGGTAAATAGGAGTACATTACAGAAATTGGGAAGTTTGTTTCTTCACACTGAAATGGGCGATGGGAGGGCAGTGGATGTGGTGTAACTCTGACTGCTCTGGCTGCTTTTCCTCTGGAGGAGACAGGCCGCTCCACTTCCTAGGTGTTGCATGTGCTCGGGTTCTGGGGACAAAACAGCTCGGGGAGGCAGAGAGCAGGATGCAAACTGTGACGTCATATCTGTCAAGATGACGCTTTTGCCACATAGGGTCATGGAAGGCACTGATTGCACTCTGGGGTTCATAGCTTTCAGAACCAAAATTCCTCTCAGATGGAGGCAAGTGTGTGGTACCTGCTTTTGCAGGTTTTTATTTTTATCTTTCTCTGGTGCTTTATGAATATTGCAGGAGAATGAACACCTCTTGTCAGCTAGTTAAATGTCATTTCATACTAGAAGTCATCTCTCTGGGTTTTTTTTTTTTTTTCTTTTTTCCAATAGAATGGAATATATATTCCATATATTATATGTACTGCTAAGTAAACAGATTCGAGTATTGATGCAGATTGAGCTTTGTAATTTAATATTGGAATATGTGGTTATCAAAGTGGACTGATTAATTAAATTCAGTATCTGTCTTCTAGATATGATGTGGCTTTTAAAAATGGTACTAGGGTAAGGAAAGGTATGGAGCCAGTTTCGTAATGGGGAAGAAAGAACCGTGCAGTCTGGAAGAAAAGACACCACTCAGCCATGGGCTCACAGCAGGGCCGTTCACCGCTCCAGGTCCCAGGGAGACAGGCGAGCCAAGGCCGATTTTCAGGGGAGCTCAGGCAGCCCAGGCTCAAGTCCTTAAGAAATCCATTCCTGGAGAACAATGCCTTGTTTAAAATGTTTAGTTTCCTACTTCTGAACACATCTCTGCATTTTCCATATCTTCTTTTAATTCTCTCTTAGAGTGGCTTGCATCTGCCTCTTTGTAGGTCTTGATAATTCTTACTGTAACTACAAGCAGGAAATTTCAATTTTGAGACAAATTCTAAGGAGATCTTTTCCACGCTCTTCCTCTCTGTCTCTGTATTGCTGTGTCTCTGTCTCTGTCTGTCTCTCACTTATTCTGTGTATAATCTCTCCATAGATAGACATAGATATATGTTTTTAATAGATGCTTATCAAATGTGAATATGTCCTTTCTTAAATTTATTTAATAGCTCACTGTTCCCCGGAGACAAAAGCTTTCACTGTGGTAGCTTTTACTCTCTCTCCTATCAACATTAGAATCTAAGACACAAAATAGACTAAGTAATAAAAATGAGATATATCTTTATTTGAAAGGAGACTCATATGGCTTAAATAATTGGATGGCAACGGTGGTGACGTATTTAAAAAGAAAATACAAAAAGACAAAGCTGAGTGCTGCTAGACAATTTTAAAGTCATAGCTTTCCCTCATAAGCCAAATTTGCTTTTTCTCTCTTTTTCTGCCTCCCTCGCTCCATCCCTCTTTCCCTCTCCTGCGATATTAGAAATTGAACCCAGGTCTTCCCAATGAGCTACATCTGCACCCCACTCCCCTGTATTAGCTATTAGACAGGGTCTTGCTAAGCCACCAAGTGGCCCAGGCTGGCTTTAAACTTGGCGTCTTTGAGCCTCAGCCCCCACCATGCTGGGCCTGTAGGTACCCGTCACCATGCCCAGCTTCCTCTAGTGTCTTTGTAAAGTCGAGACACGCTGATTTTTATAATGAGCATCAAATATTTTGAGGAAAATTTAATGTGATGGCCCCTTACATAAACTGTACCATTCCAACTCTACAAACTAATTTGATTCTAGAAATTCGGTGGAAATATTTTTAAACTCAAACTAAGAACGCTTGTTTTAAAATTTGAGCTTCTCATCACTATGGCAACCACACCTAGCACCCAACCTGCTCGCCTGTCCCCTGTTAAGCTACTTGGAAGCAATTTCCTGCTAGCACATAGATATGTAGAGACGGTCCTCACAGCTTCTGAAGCTCACATCCCTGGGCCACTTTGTGGAAGCCCCTGGAAACGGCCCACAGAGTCCTGTGCCGTGAGCTCCTGCCTGCAATGCCCATGGATGAAAGGCGATCCGATCCTAGGAGGTGAGTTAAGCAGTCTGATTTTGGTGATTGGAAACATCTGTGATGCATTGAAAACTAATGATATTTAATGATAAACATATTTTTAAGAAAAGAGATAAAACAGTGTTGAGGTAGAATTACTTAGCATACCTGATACAAAGTAAATGATGTGTTGTTATACGGGGTGCTCAGGAAACAATCACAAAGAAATCTGTGAATAGTATGCATAGAACCATCACAGGCCAACACATACAGATCACGTCAGCACCTATGTAGCTTCTGGTGAAATCTACAGATGTGGAGCCCAAGAATGCAGAGTGCCAGCCGAATACATCTTGTATAACTCAAATGGAATTCTTAACGCCAAGCCAAACCTTAGCATCTGCTAAGTGACGTAGAAGACAGGGACTTCAGGGTCCAGCCAAACTTGCTGGCTTTTCAAGGACGGCTCTGTCACTTGGTAAACTTCGCTTAGGCATTCTCAGTCTCGGTTCCCACGCCTGCGATGACGGTAAGTGTTCGGTTTTCATCATTAGGTGAAATTACATGAAGTCGTGCATGGAAAGAGCTAAACACAGTCCTGGGTGTGGAGAAGGAGGTGCACCAAGTGGTGGCGTCCTCAGAAGGAGCCGCTTTGCACAGTAGCTGCTAGAAGCTCTGCAGAAGAACAGTTAAAAGTGCAAACTTTAAAGCCAGTTTTCCTTGGCACAAATACCACCTTAAATGGGAAAATTACTTAATCTCACTAATCCTTTATATATGTATTTGTAAAGTAGGGAAGATAATAATAATTTTTGTCTCATAAGACTGAGAGCTATTTAACTGGTGCTTGAGAAGGTACCCTTCATAGAAGACAGTAAATTTGGAATACACGTTAGCTGCTATCGTGCCAATGGTATGCACGAAGGCATTGCCATGTTCTCTCACAGATCTTTCTATCCACAGACCCTAGAAAGCACGGTGCTCTGTACAGACCAAATAAACATGCACACGAGAAATAGTTTACAATCTTGCATCTGCTGTTTAAAAACTGCAATATGCTTCTGTGGCTTCTCAGTGTGGGCCTCTTTTCTTAGATGAAAAATAAAAAGTTTGGACCCAGGAGGTCTCTAACAGCTCTAATTATCAATGACTTAGAACAGCTCTAATTATCAATAGAGAGTCATCACTAAATTACTATAAAGCACTAAATGAAGAACAAGCAAAACAATGTTACATGTTTTTCATTTTGTTGCAGGCAGTATTGAAGGTGTTTTCACAAACTGTCTAAATGTCACCCACACATTTAAAGCAGTATTGGAGAGTATCAGTCTTGATTTTCAGAATTAAAGTGACATTAATATTTCCTGCCAAACAAATATAGAATACATATATGTACGTATTTGAGTACGTATTTGTACTCTATATTTGTAATATTTCCCACCAAACCAATATATTTGTCCCTTTGGAATGCAGAGAGCCTGTCACGGTATCTTCTAGGCTGGACACACATTGTCCTGCTCTGAGAAACACTGTCATGATGGAGCGTGTGCATCCTCTCTTGCTGCTGCCATGCATGACCGCAGAATTCACGGTCTGCCCAGCACAGCTTGATCATCTTGCTGCTGTGAATCTCGGGAGTCCTGAGGTTTGCAGTGGTCCAGCACGGGCGTCCCCGAGCTGCGGTGAGCTGGCAGGCCTGCATTTCTTTCTGGAGAGGGGATCTGTGGCCTTGACTCTCACAGCATCTAGACTACAGGCTTCCTGCGTATCTTGTTCTTTTTTTTTATTTACAAGAAAAAAGACGAGAAAAGTGATGATGCAAAATGTCAAAACAAGATAATAGGAGAGTAACAGTAGCTGATACATTGCATATTGTTATTGTCAAAGTAGTTGCTTATATTAAAAGCTGTATGCATGAAATATACAAAAAATATAAGCACAACATTTTCTTTGCAATGAAATAATAGTATAACTATTTTATTCAGTATATATGTGTATATATAAATATACATATTTTTCCCTTCCGCTTCCTTTTTTCTCCTTTTACCCATCCCAGTTTCTCTTTCCTTTTGAGCACATTCTTCCTATTTCATACATTTTATACATTTTGGATCTTATTTACTCTTTCGATTTCTTACACTAGGGAGACAATATGATGCTTACACAAATGAATCCAGTTTATTTCACTTACGATTATGGTCTCAAGTTGCATCCATGTATCTATAAGTCTCAAGTTTATCCTTCTTTATGCTTGAATAGTACTCTATTTTATAAAAATAATACGTCTTTCTTCATCCATCCCACAGTTGATGGGCATTCGGGCTGTTTGCAAGATTTAGCTGTTACAAATCGTGCTGCTATAAACATAGATGCACATATATTGCTGTGGTATGACAATATTAATTCTTCTGGGAAAATACTTGGAAGAGAATAGCTAAGTCAAATGGAACCCTTAATGCTAGTTTTCTGAGGAATCTCCACACTGATTTCCACAGTGTATACTCACACCAACAGTGAGAAGGGTCCTTTTTCTCTACAGCTCCTCCACCATTTGTTATTGGTTGATTGCTTGATGATAGCCATTCTTTCCGGGGTGACACGGGATCTCAGCATTGAACTTTTTTTTCATACAGTTATTTTCTTCGTCTGAGTATTGTGTATTCATCTCAGATGCCCACTTTTGGATTGTGTCGTTGAATTTGGTGGCGGAGTCTGAGTTTTTTGATAATTTATATGTTCTAAATATAAATCCTTTGAAGGACAAATGGCTGAAGTTTTTTGACACTCTGTGAGTTGTCTTTTTGCTATGTTGGTGATTTCTTTGATGTACAAAAGCTTTTTAATAAGATAAGATCCCAGTTGTTTATTCTTGAAGTGCTTCCCATGTGGTTTGGGTTTTGTTCATGAACTCTCTGCCTACACCTATGTCTTCAAGATTTCTACCTACTTTCTTTTCCAGTAAATTTAGTGTTTCTGTTTTAATATTGAGATCTTTGATCCTTCTTGACTTTGGTTTAGTGCACGGTGATAGACATGGGTCTAGTGTTAGACTTCACCCTGTAAAGAGCCAGTTTTTCCAGCACCATTTTAAAGAGACAATCCTTCTTTGAGTGAACATATTTGGCCCTTTTGTCAAAGACAAGGTGGCTGAGTGTGTCTGCAGGTGGTTCTTCAACTTCTAATCAGTTACACAAAAACTCAGGTGTGTTTGTGTGTGTGTGTGTTTTTTTACCAACACCATCCTAATTTTATCACAGCATCTGTGTAATATAATTTCAAGTCACAGATTGTGATGCCTCCTGCCTTGCCTCTGTTGACCAGGATTTGTTTTGCTACTCTAGGTCTCTTCTGGTTCCAAATGAATTTTAGGAATGTTCTGTCTAGTTCTATGAGGCATGCTAGTGCTATTTTGATCAGGATTGCATTAAGTCAGTACAATAAATATGAGTATGTCCATTTTCACTGTTAGTTTCTCCTATCCATGAGTAAGAAGTATCTTTCCATTTTCTGATAACATGTTTGATCTCCTTTTTCATAGTACTGTAATTTTCATTTTGCAGATCTTTTACTTCCTTTGTTAGATAGATTCCTAAGTATTTTATTTTGTTGAATTCCAAGGATATGGTTTCTCTAATTTCTTTCTCAGTGTGTTTGTTGTTCGTGTACAGGCATGCTATTAATTTTCAACATTGGTTTTATATCCAGCTATAATATTGAATTTGGTTATTAAACTTAGAATTCTTTTCGTGGAGTTTTTGAATCTTATATGTAGAATATCATGTTGCATGTGAATAATGATAATTTAACTTTTTCTTTTCATATACTTATTACTTTTATTTCTCTCTCTTGTCTAATTTCTCTGGTTAATGTTTCCTGAATTATACTGAGTAGCAGTGGTGATAGTGGACATCCTTGTTATGTTCCTGATTTTCAAGTGAAAGTTTTCAGTCTTTGTCCATTTAGTATGATGTTGGCTGTTGGTTTGTCATACATGTGTTCTATCAGATTGGCAAAGGTCACCTATCCCCATTATTTGTAGCATTTTTCATGAATGAGTGTTGGACATGTCAAAAGCTTTCTCTACATCTATTGAGATGATCATGTGATTTTCTCTTTGTTTATGTTAACATAGTGTATTACATTTACTGATTTGAGTATATTGCATCATCCTGCATTCCTGGGGTGAATCCCACTTGGTCATGGTATAAAATCTTCTGGATTATTTGCTGTATTCCAGTTGCTTTTGTCTTATTGAGGATTTTTGCATCTCTGCTCATTAAGGAGATTGGCTTTTAGTTCTCTTTATTTGGTTGGGTTTTTATGTGGTTTTGCAATCAGAGTAATACCTGCCTCCAGGGATAAGTTAGAGAGTATTGCTTCCCTTTCTATTTATTAAAGAATTTGAAGAGTATTAGCATGAAATCTTCTCTAAATTTCTTGAAAAATTTAGTAATGAATCCATCAGGGCCTGGGCTTTTGTTTGTTGGCAGGTTTTTAATTTCAGTTTCATTAACTAGTATTGGGTTATTCAGAATTTTTATATCATTTTGATTAACCTTGGGTAATTCATACATATCTAGCAATCTGTCCATTTCTTCTGTGTTTTCCATTTTATGAGAATAAAGGTTTTTGAAGTAGGCATTGATGATCTTTTCAATTTCCATAGGATCTTGAGTGATTTCACCCTTTATATCTCTCGGTGCACGAATCTGAGTCCTTTAATTGTTTGGTAAGACTGGCTAAGGATTTATCAATTTTATTTATTCTTTCAAACAGCCAGATGTTTGACTCATTAATTCTTTGTGATGTTTTCTTAGTCCGAACTGCATTAATTTCTGCTCTGATCTTTATAATTTCTTCCCTTGTATAGGCTTTGGTTTTGTCTTGTTCTTTTTCTAGAAGGTTGAGTTCTAACATTAGGTTGTTTATTTGTGCTCAGTTTGTTTTCCTTAAGTGAGAATTCTCTGCTATGAATTTCTCTCCTAGGACTGCTTTCATTGCACCCCATAAGTTTTGGTATGTTTTATATGCATTTCCAC